GTAGATTGATGAAAGTTGTCATATCGTTGATTTGAGAAGCAGGCAAGCCCCGAGACGCTTTCCACCTCCCCATGTAGCCTCGCTAACGGGTCCATACGCATAGAGTCCGTAATGCGTCCGTAGAAGGTAGATACGGCCTTAGCCCCGACGCTCCAGAGCCATTTTTTGGCCGACGCCCCTGGTAGATTGATGAAAGTTGTCATATCGTTGTTTTGAGAAGCAGGCAAGCCCCGAGACGCTTTCCACCTCCCCATGTAGCCTCGCTAACGGGTCCATACGCATAGAGTCCGTAATGCGTCCGTAGAAGGTAGATACGGCCTTAGCCCCGACGCTCCAGAGCCATTTTTTGGCCGACGCCCCTGGTAGATTGATAAAAGTTGTCATATCGTTGATTTGAGAAGAAGGCAAGCCCCAAGACGCTTTCCACCTCCCCATGTAGCCTCGCTAACGGGTCCATACGCATAGAGTCCGTAATGCGTCCGTAGAAGGTAGATACGGCCTTAGCCCCGACGCTCCAGAGCCATGTTTTGGCCGACGCCCCTGGTAGATTGATGAAAGTTGTCATATCGTTGATTTGAGAAGCAGGCAAGCCCCGAGACGCTATCCTCCTCCATCTGTAGCCTCGCTAACGGGTCCATACGCAAAGAGTCCGTAATGCGTCCGTAGAAGGTAGATACGGCCTTAGCCCCGACGCTCCAGAGCCATTTTTTGGCCGACGCCCCTGGTAGATTGATGAAAGTTGTCATATCGTTGATTTGAGAAGCAGGCAAGCCCCGAGACGCTTTCCACCTCCCCATGTAGCCTCGCTAACGGGTCCATACGCATAGAGTCCGTAATGCGTCCGTAGAAGGTAGATACGGCCTTAGCCCCGACGCCCCAGAGCCATGTTTTGGCCGACGCCCCTGGTAGATTGATGAAAGTTGTCATATCGTTGATTTGAGAAGCAGGCAAGCCCCGAGACGCTTTCCACCTCCCCATGTAGCCTCGCGAACGGGTCCATACGCATAGAGTCCGTAATGCGTCCGTAGAAGGTAGATACGGCCTTAGCCCCGACGCTCCAGAGCCATTTTTTGGCCGACGCCCCTGGTAGATTGATGAAAGTTGTCATATCGTTGTTTTGAGAAGCAGGCAAGCCCCGAGACGCTTTCCACCTTCCCATGTAGCCTCGCTAACGGGTCCATACGCATAGAGTCCGTAATGCGTCCGTAGGGCTACACTCAGCGCGGTCGTATCCGACATAGTCCTGGTAATGACGAATCCCGTGAACGAGCACTGAAACAGGAGCAAAGCATTGTTGTCCCTGCGCGACTTCAGTAGTGGGATGCCAAAGTCCATAGAGACGATCTGGAACGGTCGTTCGGCTAGTACG